TATCGGGTGTTGTTTCTGGCTGCGAGACTGGCCGTTGGTTGGTATGCAGATGGGTCGGATGAATGTGCCTTTGCTGCTGCTTTCTGTGCCAATAATGTCAGCGTAGCGAATGAGTAAGTTTGCAGTGGCCTCTAGTTCATCTCGGTTCGGGCGGTTTGGTAGTGATAGTCCTGTGTTATGTTTTAGCCAGGTTAGCTTTTGATCCAGTGTCTGGATGTTGGGCTCTAGTTCCATAGTAGGCTGGTTTTGGATGATGTCAGCTTGGGAGCCATATGCTGGATCGTTGGTTGACGATGATGGTGATATGATTGCTGCTGTGTGTGTTGTATATCCTGAGGAAAGTGTGCGTCTGAATTCTATAGTCGCATTTTGGTTGTCGATTAGATAGGAATCGAGCGTGTTGTGACGTAGGATATTTTTGGCCGATCAGGATTGGTGTGGTTTGGGTAGTTACCAGCATGTTAACCTTTTTGAATGTGGGTGAGTCTCAACTGCTGATGGTGATGTCGCAAGTCAGTTCGCCGAGGGCGGTGGTGCTGCCGTTGATTCCTTTTACTATGACGTCTGAGCGGGTCATAAGTTTCTTGGCTTCTCTGGATAACTGAGATATTAATACGATGCAGGTGGAGCATCCAGAGTCTAGCATTGCGACGCCAGAGAAGGTGATGTCCCTGAAGTTGAAGGTGGACTGGACGAGCGGTGAATGGTGAGCGAGTCCTTGAAAGTTGAAGGTGTGATGGCTGACGTAGGGGCATGGCGAACGAGGCATCACATCTCGTCCTGCCCGAAGCAAAAATCCTGTTCCACATCATTTATGGCTTGTATATTATCATTCGTTGCGGCGATATGGTCCTGTGCGAGGTGGGTGGCGATATACACAGTTGCGTCCATGGTGGCAGGGGTGACCTCTGAGGTAGTTCTTGCACACGCTGATTCGTGGTGTGTGCTGATGGTTTCTGTGTGTCGGATGGTGGCCATGTTCGGGAGATTTGGTGAGGCCCGTCTGCTGTGGGTTTGGTTGCCTGCTGGGTCGGAGTGGCGCGTTTCTTTGGTTTGACCGCTGTGGTTTCTGTGTGAAATACACAGTGTCATGCAAAGTTGTGTCGTTGGATTTTACACCGCGATCAAGGTATATTTGAGCTTCAGAGGCTATGCCAATGGCTGAATAGTGGTTGTCCATTGTCTTGACGAGATGTGGGTAGAGATTTGAGTTCCAAATTTTCACCTTTTCGCTCATTAGCATAGCGCCGATTATGGAAATAAGTCCATCGACTGTTAAGTCTGTATTTTTGTCTTTTTTGTATTTGTTTTTCATGTGGACGGCTGCCTCTCTAAGGGTGTTTTCGAGTCGACCCGTGAAGTCTGTTAATTTTTCGCCGTCTTGCCGTTCCAAGTCCCAGGCTTGACTGAGGTGTTGGAAGTTAGTCATCTGGCTTCCGTGGGCTCCTAATAAGTATTCCTTCAGTTGTTCGAAGGTGGATATGTCCTTTTTTGAGTCAACCATCTGCTGAAAGATACTTTGGTCCAGTAAATCTTTAGCAGACTTGACGAATTCGCATTCCAGGCTGGGATAGGTGCTGAGTTCTGGCGTGACGTAGATTGTGTATGCTTTGTTTAGGGCCTAGATGAATCGGTTCACGTCGTGTCCAGGGTGAAAAGTTTTCTCTATCTTCAATGTGTCATGTATAGTTTGTTGGCGCATCATTAAGCTCTAATCGCCGTTTGTTTGAGCGGTGGGAGGTGTTGAAGCAGTTAATTTTAGGGCAGTCAGCATGTCATTTATGTCGGCTTGAATTTCCTGTATCGTGGCTTCGGAAGGCTGTGTTGGTCCTGTTTTCAAGTTGAATAGTAGTGTTTTCTGTTCCTTGATGAGAGTGAATAGTTCGGCTTGGGTGAAGCTTGTGTAGTCGGCCATATTTCTCTTGCTGTATGCTTCTGACACCAGTGTTATAGACAAGCGTATCGTTGCAAGAAAGAAATACGACAACAGTAAAAATAGATTTATGTGGTTTATTTCAACAGGAACATGAGGGTTTGGGACAGCTACCTTGTGGTAAAGTTCATAAGCCAGCTTTCGGATCTAGGTCGATCTCTTATAGTAGTTCAAACATGTTGACGGTGGTTGATGCTCCCCTGCTTTCAGCTGTTGAACGCTCGGCCTGACCGTAACAGGTCTCCTTTGTGGCCACCTGTTGACTGCCTGTTGAACTTCCGTGTGACCCCTTTTATAGTGTTTTTTATGGCTTAACAGGCTTAAAGAACGAAGCGAGTATAATTAGGAGGGAAGCATTTTTATTGGACGAAAAATAGAGCACTTTAAATATTATTTTATTTTTCGACTGGAACACGTGTGTCGGGAACATTTGTAAAGAAAGATAATGGTCATTTTGTGACGGGGCTTTGTCCTGTTCACATCCGGTTCTCGCTCTTGAGTATTTGCCTGTAAATCAGCCGAGATATGTCTTATTTTATTTTATAACAAATGTCTCCTGGAATATTTATCCCGCAACAATTATTGTGGATTCAATGTGAGTTCAAATAAAAAATGAGTAACGCAAAACAATATAAAACAAACCACAACTAATTGTATGAAGTGACAAAAAGAAATGACATGAATATACAATTTTGATAAAAGAAGAAAACCTTTAAACTAGCTATAAGAGAATGTGCATTTGTGTGTGTGTGTGTGTGTGTAAAATTTGTGTATGTGATAAACTTGTGTGTATATGTGAGTGTGCAAGAAATAAATGTGTGCAATAGACACATGAGTGAGAGAGTTCAACAGTCAAAGAAAAGAGAAAAAGAAACACGCAAACCTAGCAGCCACATTCCAATTATACATGTATCTACATCTGAAAGCCTGTGTGGAAAAAAGTGAAAAAAAAAAGGTTAGGGAGAGAAATGCATGTCTTTTTATAGGCTTAAGGAGTGCCTCTTAGCAATGTTTTTTGGCAAAGTCAAGTGGGATAACCCACAAAGTTTTAAAGTAGTATATTTTATTTTTGAAAGATTTTTTAATAAAATGGATTACATTGCAATAAATGCGGGTTAAAAAAGAAGCTCCTTCCAGGCAGTTTAAATTAGTTTTAAAATAGAGAAAAGTATTTTGTTTATTGGAATTATTAAATTTAATTTATTAGCTTGAAATTAAAACTAAAATAAAAGCTTCAAGAAAGATTTTTCATTTTAAAAAATTCATTTTAAAACTTTAGGTATTGCAGATCTGTGGCGGCACCTAATAAAATATAAATACTTAGTTGGTCTTTTGTTTGTTTGGTATGCACATAAACTTGGAAAAGCTCACACAGAAGTTAAAGGTGAAATTGATACCATGTTGAGAAATGAAAACTCAAATCCTCTTTCCATTATATTTATTTTGTTCAAGGATTCATCTGGCTGAATCTGTGGGTTAGATAGGTGACACTTGGGATAACTTGTGCTACAACAGACTAACAGACAAACTCTTCCCTTTGGCCAGTGTCAACTTCAACTCTGTCCTAGCACTCTTCTTCTTACCTCTACATCAAAACACAACTTGTAAGACTCTTAAGGGTGGCTCAAAATGATGTAAAAAGAAAGCAAATCAAAGAAAAAAGAAAAGAAACACTGTTGTTTGTCACAGTTTCTTACCTGCTCTGGCTGTCTTTAGAAACACCGTTAAGAATGCCTTTCTCCTGATTCACCGGCATCAATCTCATTCTTTCTTTTATTGTTTTGCAAAGTACTTTATCTGGGTGTTTGGATTAAATTCACATATGGATATGCAAATCGCATCACTCTCCCAACATCTTAGCTTGTCTATTGTGCATTCATTCTAGTGAAATAAATCAAGCTCAACTGGTTAATGTGAGGCTCAGGTTCAAATTACACTGAAATCAATTCTACTTACAGCTACAAACAATGCATGTTGTCATATGAATTCTTTTCACAGCAGGTGAACAATGCCTTCTCTCGGCAACTCCTTCATTACACAAAACTAACTCTATGCATTTTAACTTTGTGACTCTACTAATATAATCCTGCAACTAGAACTTCCTAACTTCCAACCAAATGGCACTTGATCCTAAAAGATTTCATTTAAAAAAAAAACAATGCCATGCTTCAGATCCAGATAAAATTATTCACAGTCCACTTCCTGGATGTCCTAAGTCAATTGTTTGGGGAGGTGTATTATATCAACCTTGTTTCCAAATGTCCCTTTGTTGAGACCATAACTGATAAAATTAGTTGTTTGAAGCCAGCTTTCAGATATGGTATTATTACATCTGCACTTTGATTATACAATCTCTTATCTATTTTGAGTTGCTTCTTGAGAAAGTGGCATGTTTCTTTTTCCTCATTACACATGATCCTGTCATTTTGTCTTGGATAATGGCTTTCAGATGGTCTTAAATACTGATTTTTAAAGAGCTGCTAATTTCTCCTTTTAATTGTGGTCAAAAATATAAGATGTATATGAAATAAGGTATAAATTATTTGCATTTGATTTAAGATAAATATGATGAAAATTTCATGTTAATGGAAAGTGAAAGGTTTGAATTTGTCATTTTAAAATCTCGCTGCTTTATTATTTAGTGCATCTAATTGCAAGCCAAATTCAAGACTTAAATTTGTAAGTCATAAGCATATCATCTTAATTCTTTAAGAAGTTTGAAGTACAACAACAATTTTAGGTATTTACTAAGCTTAGTCTGGTACAAGGTTGTATGTGTAGGGATACTCGGTGAGGACCGAATTCCCTACAATTAGTAATGATTTGCTAGACTAGTTTGCTAATCATTAATATATGGCAAGGCACCTTTTATATTTACTTTGTCTAGCTTAAGTTGTAGAGAATTGAGTACAGCATCACATCCTATGAGGATTTCTCTGTGATAAGACATGCCGTATCATTATTTGTTTTATATAAATTCTGATTTTCAATCTCCAAACTTTTTTAACTGCAGTTATGAAGCAAAAAAATATATAATTTTTTCTTTTTTAAAATTTTCTTCTTACAGGCTGGCCTACAACAGCGATTGTCTGAACAGGAATCAGCATTAGCCAATTCCAAAGCTGAATCGTGCCGTGCAGGGTTAGATTTGCATAGTTTACAGTCAGAAAAAGTGAGTTGATACTAATTTGTTATTATAAATAACTATTGCACTATAATTTACTATATTTATGAAAATTATATCCAAGTTGCTTTTTATTCAAGTTTCATCTGAATAAATGTACAAAGAAAAATATACATACATATTTTTTGTCTGTAAAACAACCTTGTTTGTTAAGTGCTTTTCATGGTTTGTTTGCATTCAACTAATTGCATGTGCATCAGGACATTATAACATCTTTTCTGAAATAATCCTGTCAAATATAAGAATGGAAAAAAGGATTTGCAGAGTGGTATGATGGACAAGACTGGTGAATTTAATAAGATGAATAATTTATCTTTAAGAGATGAATTTTCTTGTGTTCTGACCCACCATCAACATTCTTAATGATTAAGCATTTGACATGGGAAGGATGAGCAAGAGGTTATTTCATGCAACTTTTCATTATCCAATTCTATCTTTAAATACAATCACCTCCCCAGCCTCCTTCAAAGTTTGAGGTTTCCTTGGGAAATGATTAACTGTTAACACTAATATCAAAGACAATATTGTCGATGATTCAATTCTGTTATCAGAAAACTTCTTAGTTGCAAAAACATTTGCTTAAAAGAATCCCAAAGATGTCATGTTAAAACTTGCCTCTTGCTCTTTGCTTGTTTTCATTTTCAAGTAAAAAGAGATTTATAAACTCTGAATGGAAAATTGTTGTTTAAACCTTGAGATTATTAATCCAGTTACTATAAAAATAAGAGTCAGTTTTAAAAATGTAAGCAAAAATAAATTCACGTAGAAAAATCAGAAAATATTTTATATCTTTTTTGTTTGTTTTTACAGGCAATGATGCTGAAGAAATTGGCTGATAAAGATAAGCAACTAATGGAGTTGAAGGTGAGTGAAATTATTTTGCAATATGGATGCTTGGTTTTAGTTTTCTCATCTTCTTAAATCTCTGCTGATTTTCACCTTTTCACTCATACAACATTTATCCTTTCAAAATTATCTTAAAAAATGTCTTTTTTTCACTAATCTGTCTGTCTATTTTACTGGATGTTAATTTTAAAATCTATTTGGTTGGTAAGAAAATGTGCAATAAATAACTTTGTATTGGATTGACTGAAAATTTAATTCTACATTTGTCATTAGTATTAAAGGCATTTAGTTTTAATTAACTTTATTCAAAAGATAACTTCTGATTATATTGTGACAGTTGCTATATTAGTATATATATTTTTTTTTAATTTTGTCAAAATTGTCCTTTTTTTTTTATTGGTTAAGTGGAACAAAGTAAGTAACATGATTTATTTTTTTTAATTTTAAGAATTCAGATGTAATAAAATTATAGTGAGGTTTTGTGAATGGTGTGACATGACCCTCAATGTTAACTGTTAAATCAGACGTATAATCAATTTAATAAGAGATGTGCATAGATATTCCCAAATGATTGGAGTATACTCTTTGGCAGATCATTTATGTACAGGTTGCACTGAGAAGCAAACCTTGGGAGGATGACTGGGCCTTGGAGGACTGACCATTAACAACTACCTTCAGAGAGCTACCAATTAGGAAGAACTTTATAATGGAGAAAACTGTTCCAGTGATTCCATAGTTAAAGACCTTGTGCAGTAACCCTTTATACCACACCTTATCAAAGGTCTTTGAAATATCTAATGTGATTGTTCTTGAGATGTATTTGTTGTCTAGTGCTTCACTAATTTTGTGAGTATTGACAGAATATTAGCAGTGAACCAAGATGATCAAAACCCATGTTTTTTGTTACTAAAGTTGTCTCTATTGAAGTGATCAACAACCTTCTTGATTATAGCTTCAAAAAAATTTGCTAATGACACTGAGGATGCTGATGTGTCTATACTGTAATGGAGATGATCACTCACCTGCATTCTTGAAAACCAGGCATACACTTGACACCTTTTACATACTTGGGGAGGATTTCTCCTTCAAGCAGCAGTTAAATAATTTCACTGAAATTAGGGATAACTTTAGATTAATACTCTTAACAACTGGAATTTTATCTGGACCAGTAGCCTTCTTAGAGTCAAGACTTTTTGTTAAGTCTTAAGACTTTCCAAGCTGTAAGAAAAATATTACTGAAATTGTGCTCAGTGAAACAGGGGAATTGGGAAGGGAATGGCCTTTGTCATCTAACATTGAGTTAAAGGCAAAGATTGTAGCAAAAAGCTTTGTCTTATTTGATGAAGAAGAAATGACCTGACACTTTACCTCTATTCAGAATTTGGTTAGAGATTTACAGAACTCCCACGATGTTTGCTTTTGATCTTGACCTGGACTGCTTGTGCATAGCTAAATAGCATTTTCTAGAAATCTCTTGCAGTGATTGTGAGAAGTTCTGAATGCAGCAAGTATCCTACTACACTGTTCTCTGTGATAGATATTGTAGTAGTGGTTTTGGTAAGAAGCTGCTGCACATTTCAGGGTGAACCAGGTTTGGCTGTTTGGTTTTTGATGGAATTTTTTTCTGGGGTATAAAACTCTTCATTTCAGAAAGGATCCATTCCAAGATGAGGGCAAAAATTTTGGAGGCAATATGTTTGAAGAAGGTTGGGAGAAGAGTTTTTGCCAAGTAAGATCTGAAGCTGTCCCAGTTGGCTTTCACGTACCAAAAATATGTTTTATGTAATGACACATCAAGGGATGCCTTTGGTTTGGCATCAACTGACTAGTGAATGATCTGAAGTGCTCCAAGAGTCAGGAACAAACTCGCATTGAAGCATTTTTTAGGGCAGGCGGTGAGGAAGAGCCCAAGGAAGTTTGCTTGATGTCCTGTCGCATCAGGAATATGGGTGGGTTTTTTTCAATGATTTGAGTTAGTTCATAGGTGATGGAAAAGTCTCTGCAGTTTCTACTTTCTTCATTAGTTTTGTTCAAGTGAACTAACCACTCTTTGTAGTGAATGTTGAAGTCACCACATATATGAAAGCTAGCTGAGGGATGTTATCAATCGTACTTGGTTATTCTTTCGAACATTACAGTTCCATCACCCTGAAGACAATACAGACTGAAAATGATCCTATGGACAAGTGCCACATGGAAGCACATATAAGGGAGATCAGGGTCTCTGCCACATCCTTAATATAGGAATTGAGACCATTACTATGATGATTTTCATGGTCATGTTTAGCTATTAGCGGTGGAATTGTGAATTGCTTTGATATAGAAGTATCAATACCAGTTTCAAACAGGAATAGGAGGTCAAGTTTGGAATCGAGATGATGGATTTCCTCCTCTGGAAAGTTATAACATAGACCCCCTCACATTGGTGTAGGAGATGAAGAACCTGGCGTCTACTTTTTATTTTTGTGAGGTTGTTTGATTTTTTTTTTTTTTTTTTTTTTTCAATTTAGTAGTGATCCTGTTTAGAAATCAGTGTATTCAGTAGAAGACAAGTTAATAACTGTCACACCCACAGGAGATGCAAGCATCAACAAACTGGATTGTAAAAGTACTCTTCATTATGGCATCAAGAGGCCCCACTGTAGAGACTAATGCATAGTCCAGAACCCATTCGCAAAATGTCAGTACAATAACCCTATATTTATAAACCTGCTAATATAATAGCCTCCTTCGAAGTTACTCAAAGGTTCGGAGAATAAAAAGAAAATGTCCTTTTTATATTATTATTATTATTATTATTATCGTCATCAGCATGTTTAGGATATGTGATATTCACATGCCCAATTTTTTATAATTTAAAAAGCTTGTTTGCTTTGTATATTCTTGTAAGAAGTCTTCTGGATTTGGCATTGGCAACTTTTGGGTAGGTTTTGAGCTTGGTTCACTGATCTGTTATGTTTAGGGTCATAGCTTTCAATAATTCCTAAAAATGTCTAAAAGTATTTTTTTTTCCATTTTAGAAAGAAGTTTCAAAGAAGGATAAAGAAATTGAAGATTTACAATTTGAATTGAATCCAGAATTGTTGCAAGAGAAAGATCCATCAGGCCGTAATCGGTGGTTTCAGGTTCGATGCCTTCAAAGATTACAGGCCATACGCAGAACAGAGGTAAAAGAAATCTGTCTTTTGATTGTTTTCTTACATAGAAGCATGAACAAAAAATGGCACCAGTGATAAAAGCAGAAGCAAATAAAATCAAAAATTGCTTACAAACAAATTTTAGAAACTGAAGAATTTCTTTTTGTTATAGTCAGTAAAGCAACACCTCATAGAAAATCTATATTTCTGTGTAATAAAAAAGAAAAAAACAATCTGTCTAAATATTTACTATGCAATTGTAATTGAGCATCTGACACAAGTTGTCTTATGTGACATTCTGTTCAGACTGTTCTGAGAGATCCCATTGAAACCATTTCATAAGATACATTTCAGATCTTGTCCACTTAAGTATGGTAAAAATACATTAAGAGCAAAACCTCTGGGATATTGAATTACTTTAATTATACCATACTTCGATTTAGCAGCAATTAGCAGAATTTATCTGAAGGAGATGTGAAAAGTTCTCGGTCCAACCAAGAAAAGATTCCCTCCTAATTTCTTATGTTTGATTAGATTTTGGGAATTGGGTTAGACTGAGAACCTTTCAGCACCATCAGATAGATATGGAATGTGCCAGGTAATTGAGAACAAATTATGTAGTATATTTTTAATAGAATTTGTACAAGTTAGAAAAACAGAAAGAAGATTACTTAATAAAACCACTTTTGGTTTTAATGCAGTCTTGAAAGTGACAACATGCCTAGATCAGATGGTTCTCATTCATGTTGGTCATCACGTCCACCAAAATGGCAGCCTTCAACAAGTCCTTGGTTGCTGGTTGATCTCACTCTCAGTGATGCCTCAGACTTAGTTGCCCAGAGAGAGAGAACACATGTTAACATGATCATGAAAATTCATGTTCAACTATTTTTGGATCACATGTGCCATGTGGAAAGGAGCAGTTCTGCTGGAACTCCTTACAGGCCACACCTTTTTGAACGACTCTTTGTGCACTGTCTGGCATCTCAGTGTAAGTTGATGGCATTGACACTGAGGACCTGTAGAAAAAGTGAAGTGTGAAATATTTTTAAAATGATACAAAAACAAAATGGTTGCTATTCAGCACAACAAGCCACAAAGGTGAGCAATCTTTTGATGTTCATGCATATTGTTGTTAATTACCTTGTAGTCACTTAATTTACAGTACAATGTCTAATTTTGTCTTCTGCAATTTTCATAAAATATTTACAAAAAGGGTTTTTTCAAAGTATGACAATATTTCAAAATTAAAATTCATAAAAAAATTATTTTCAAAAATATTTTTTATTTTAATTCCAGACTGAAAAAACTGGGGAAGAGGTAAGTTTTTAAATTTTAAACAGCATTTCTTTTGCCTACAGCAATAAAAAGAAAGCTCAATTTATTTCTGCTTTCATATCCAATTCTTTGAATTTCTTTAGCTTCAAAATGTTTTCCTAATATTTTTATCATGTAATTTCTTGTTGATAAATGGTTTGATCTTAAATTTTGTTTTCTATTCTGTGAAAAAATAAACTTTTCATGTTGACCAAATTAAACTTTATTTACCTCTCCATAAGCATATACTATGGGGCATTGGTTAACAAGCTTGCTTTGCAGGCTAATTCACTCATGTAGTAGGCTTGATATTCACTGAGTGCTCCATTGATCTTGTGCCAGATTTAGCTTAGTAAATATTTAGTATCTTTTAACATACAATATTTAGCTAATTTGTCTTGCATATGAGTGCAGTGCAGTTAATCCTCATTGGGAGCTCCACAATTTAGTAAATATTTTATTGTGACAGTTTATTTTTTTAAACTCTGCCTAATCTATGAATTCATGAAAAAGACACTTTTTATGCGCATACGTTTGAATAATGATGCACTTTTAAATGTACTTTATGAAGTGTCAGGTGATTTGGAGCAAAAGAAGTAACTCTGAAACTTTTGCCCTTTTGACCTTTTCTATCAAGATTAAATCTTATTTGCCTCTCTTACACTTGTTGACTATTCTACCATTTTCAATTGTTACAATGAAATTAAGCAACAACAAAATATCAAAGGCAAAATTAATCTTCCAAATGATGATCAGTTCCTCATTAATAAATGTAAATTTTGTTGCAAAAGAAATAATCATTAATTTAGTACTAGAAAATCTGTTTAGGAGAAAAAAAATTCTTTTTCTCTTCAAAATTGAATTTTTTAACAATTACACAATATCTAAACAGTATTTATCAAATCCTGAATCCATGTCAGAATTCAAATATTTTTTTTCTACATACCACAATTTAAAACTTTCCTTCTCATCTGTTATTAAGAAAAACAAATTGTTTTTTTTTTCTGTTAATCAGGAAGAGATTGATGAAATTCAGGTCCTTCAAGATTCTGTACAGAAACTCCGCCGGTCTTTCAATGACAATGATTGCGCTCAGTTGGCCACCCTGGACAAATTAGAGCAAAATGTTGTTAGTCTCATAGAAAAAATGCATTATGGAAACATTGATTTCTTGTGTACGCAGGTAAGAGTTTTGTTTTAAAAGCTGTTATCATAGTAAATCTTGTTGCAAAATAAGAAAAGCCTTTTGGTAATTAGTAATTTTCCCTTTTCCTTTATTCATTTGCTTAATTGCTTCTTGTTTGTATTTATTTCATTGTTGCTTTGGAAAAATGAAATCTTTTGATAGGTTTTGTAATTTAGTTTTTAACTGAGGAGTAAACTCTTTCCCTAGATGTTTGCTGCTGAAATTATTTTTGTTTTTATAAATTCAAATATTTCACAACTCTTATGATGAATATGTGAGCTAGTCTTTAATTCGATTGGTCGATATTTAACCAAGATATTAGTATCAGATGGCTTTTAAAGTTCAAAGTAATTTTTTGAAAAAAGTGTACAAATATAACAGATGGCAACTTATTGCAAAAAGATTTTTTAAAGAATTTATCATAATTACAAATCTGCGGTCCTTTTGAAAACAATACAAAGTATTGAAAGTAAGGAATCAACACATATGCTAGGCCACAAAAATCTCCTGAGCCGACCAAGCATAGAAATGAATACAATATGCGAACCAGTAATAAGGAGTGCCAGAAAAACAATAATAACAATAAAAGTTGCAATATGGGCTCTGGTAAAAACATGCAATAACAGCAAAAATTGCAATATGAGCACTGGTAAAAATAGTTGCCGCGACATTAGGTTTATAATACCCAGAAATTCATACACAGATGTCCTCAAGTGGATAAAGATGTTGGTTAGATCCAGTGACAGGACCCAAAGAGTGTGAATTCAATACCCAGTTAAGGCAGTGGAGAACTCGCAGAGGGGAATTAACAGGAGATAACTGATAACTGATATCCATTAAACATGGCATGTGGAACTAGAGCAGTCTACACCAGTGAGCGAAATAAAGGGTTCAGTTCGACATTCCAACCACCTGAAGAAGGCAAAAGCATACAACGGCCAAAACATTGTAATAAATATGGCGACAAAGATGAGGACAATAGTCCGAATAATGTAAATAATGTACAAAGTATCGAATTAGAAATGCAAACCAAACTAATTTGTAATAAATCAGTTGTATTTCTATCATACTTTGTAGAATTTAATTCTGACTTGTAGACTTTTCTTGGCACTCTTTCTTTAAAATGATAAAAATATTTGTCTATTTATCTCCAGATCTTTGCTTTTCACCTTTTCTCATGTCTTATAAAATCTGGTGGCAATGTTAAGTCTGGGTCTTTTCTTGGTGTCACCTACTTTGTAAATTTGTTCTTTTTAAATCATCTTTGACCAACATTGCATAGACACTTTTTTCTTCAAAGCTTTAAATTTTTGGTTATTTATTTTTTAGCATTTCCATTTTTTTATATAAATTGAAGAGGAGACATTATTTTGCAAAATAGCCCCTTATTTTTCAATAATTCCTAACAATTGAGAATTCATTTTCTCTACAAATACACAGGAGACAGAATAAGTGTTAAAAGTTGTTAAGATATATTTTTGTTCAAAACCTGCAAAAAATTCAGTTTTAAATTCTTAAGTATTTTCTCACTGCCAGAAATTCTGTGGGAGGAAGTGGAAATGATTAGGGGTGGGGTTTAATGGTTTTAAAATCAGGAATAAATCAACTTTAAATATGCAAATCAAATACATCACCACTAAAATATAAACCTGATTTTTTTTCCGGTAATCAAAATTTGCCAATTATATTAATAGAGTGAATTGGTTTTCATATTTTCTTTCATAAAATCCTGTTTATGATATTATCTGTTATATAAATAGTTTTTTTTTTATATATATTTTCTCAGTAGAAAACATAACAAGTGTTATTTTATTCTTTAATCTAATGAGATCTGTCCTGTTTGCTTAGCTTAGCTTTTTTCTGTTTGCAGTCCCCAAGTACACATTCTCGACGAAGGACTGCAAGTGCATCTACTGATCCTCGAAGTGAAGGTGAGTGATATGAACCTTCTCAGACTGATTCCAAGGCTTTTAGTGCTTCTCTTTCAACAATGGACAACATTTTTGCTTTTTCTCTTGCTTTTCTAGATGAACCTTCATCTATCATCCATTTGCAATGTCTTTCACAATATCTTGGAAGCAAGACATTAGGCGGAATATCCATTAAAATTCTGATGTGATCGTATCGCAATCATTTGGATTTTCAATGTTACTCCACTTAAACAGTTTTTAGCTTTAAAATATAAAAAACAAATAAAAGTGACTCATGATCAGAAACAAAGTTACTTGCAAACATTAGGCTTAAAAAAAAATAACATGATCAAAAGAATTATGTACATTTTTCTGTAAACATAATTTATAACTCATTTTATTTGTGCAATTTCTTCATAAAATGCTTAAATGTTTCTTGATTTGTTAGGCACTGTACATACAAATATCTACTTGTCTTCATGAAAAGTTTAAATTTCTGATGTTTATACATAGAAAGTCTTAATATTGTTACACTGACTTGAGTAATGACGATTAAAATATTGAAATTTCATTTTTACTGTAAACTTGAATGTGTCCTTCTTTTGCACTTGTTTTCTTCTATAAATTTTATCAATGATTATAAAATAACTTTTTGCAAGTAAATATTTTTTCACTTTCCAAACACAAAAAAATGTTGACTGAACATCATTCCACAAAATAATAAAAAAAATACTACTGAGAAAGAATAGATTATTGAATGGAAGTGAAAATGAATCCAGTTAAATTTGTTTACTTCTTAGCAAACAATTTATTCTACATTCAAATGTTTTCAGATGATATTTTGTTAATGAAAAGCTTGAATAAAAATATTTTTTGATTTGGTTAATTATTGATTATTTTTTTATAAAGGAATTATCTAGAATTTTAGACAAATCTTTTACTTTTCAGGTCAGGTTCATATTAAGAGAATTTTCTTATTTTTTTCTATCTTTATTAAAAATTAATTTTTGAATTCTTAAACTGATAAAACCATTTGTGAGTAAACTGGCATTTCAAAATGTTTTTGACTAATTTCAATAAATTTTTATTTGAAAATAGTTAAATGGGAGTTTGAAATGACTGTACTTTAAAATAATTCTATGATAAAAAGGAAAATGTGCAAGCCTTAACATGTTTGTTAGTCAATTTATTTGAGGATATTCTATTTTACATAAGCCTGTTGACGAATCCATTTGAAAAGACAATAGCTTAGATCATCTGTTCAAAAACATCTGAAAGTGATGGTTGAAATACTTATATGTTTCTTTCTTACTGGGTGCTCCATCAACATGACCTTTTGCCAAAGTTAACCTCATTTTCATTTAACAAATATCACCTTGTCATTGATAAATATATTTTTTTTCTTGTGTGAGTATCAAACCTGTTTTCCAAATGAAACCTACTTTAGACTAGAAAAGCCAGCCTTGAATTTTAAAATTTATACTTTTTGTACAGAAATGTACATAAATACGATGTATAAATGAAAAGTATTTAAATCTAATACATTAAAAAAAAGACAGTCTATATTGGTGGAGTTAATAAACATTTCTGTCTCATTTGCAGGTTTGTAAAGACAACAAAGGAACAGACTTGTTCGCCCTTTATTATGTTTAATATATATTGTCAATATGTAAGACAGTATGTTTGCTACTGCATGACCCACTATAAGTCTTGATGTATTAAGAAATCTTTAGGATCTTTCTGTCCTTTTTTTTTTCTTTTTTCCTGAGGGTAATAGAATTAATGAGGAATGCATGAAGCCTCATTAAGCGTCAATATACAAATGACTTTTTCATCATATTATGGTGACCAACAAGGAAATGCTTATTTTTGTCTGCCTTTTATACTAGATGATATGAGAAAAGAAAATAATACAAAACTGTTAAAATAATAAATAGGTTTATTGCCATTATATTTTTTTTAAATGAATGATTGTGTCTTTTGGGTTGAGTTATTCAGAGCATTGGTGTATTAGGATCCACTTAAATTCTCTTGTGACCATCATTTAATTTTGATTCAATCTAATGAAGAGTTCTGTATGTATGTATGTATGTATATGTGTGTGTGTGTGTGTGTGTGTGTGAGTGATATATGTATTTGTAAAGTCTCTTTCTCCAGGCTTTCTATCACTTTTCATCATTCTTGTAACTATGGTGTTTGTTGATTCTCTCTGCGTTAGAATAAAAGAAAATCACTGGACAGCTAAAGAATTACTCTGGCTTGTTTAAGGAATTACTTTTGGCAAGTGGTTTACATTGAGGGCAAAAATGGTGAAAGGTGACTCAAAAGTGCCAACACTTTTGGCAACAACTGTTTCATCCATGTGGATTTGGGTGAAGGGGTTGTTGTATGGTATTAGTATAAAACAAATCAAAAACTGGTTTATATTTTGGTGAAACAGATATTTGGTTATTTTAACATTGATATTTGGTTTGTTACAAGCATTTTTTTTTTATATTATTTGAAAGAAAATTTTGGTGGTTTTCTTAATCAGTTTTCTATGGCTTCCAAGAAATTGATTTGTGGACATGAAAGCATTAAAACAAAAATAAACATAGTATGTCTAAATTATTTAACAAAATATACTGCCTAAATGCACACACACACACACACATATATTTTTTTTCTCAAGGTAGTGTGAAAACAAATCTTTTCATGCATATAATTTTATATTCTACATGTTTAAAAAATATTCAGGGAATCCATATGTGTGGCTGATGTAATGGATGACAGCTTGGATTGAGAAATCAGAAAGCCTAAAATTTGAATTCCAGTCAGGTTTGTTGCATTCACTTAGATGCAAATCAGTCAGTTAAGTGTCATGTGTGATACACGCCTGGGTGATCATGTCACTTTTGATTCATGACTGACTAGGCAGAAGATTTTTCAGCCTGTAGGTTTCCATTTCTTTCTATGGTAGACCGGTTTCCAACCAAGCCTGTAGGACCCTTTCTGTCCTGCTATTCAACCCATAGCTGGAGGAAGAAGAGATGGATTCATACAAGGGCATTTGTGTGTAAGTGAATGCAACAAACTCGACTGGAATTAAAACTCTGCTCTCTAATTTCTCATTCTGAGCCAATATCCATTTAGACCACATCACGCAAATATCCTTCAGAAAATCATTATTAATGCATTATTCATTTGCAAAAAAAAAAAAAAAAAACAATTATTCTTACAATCCAAAATATGTTTCAGCTTTAAATGACCCACAAAAGGTTGATAAGTCATAAAAAATAATCAATTGTAGGAAATCAATATTTAATAAAAAACATGCTACAGGTTATAATGTCTATTCCAACTATTTTTCAAATGATACGAACTTACTTTATGCCCCTTTCTGTAGATATTTTCATCTTCTAAACTAACTTTAGTCTGACACAAGGCTTGAACAGTGAGGGTTGAACACATTACAATAGCAAATCTGAGAACTTTTGCATACCTAATAGAAAATTGAAGAGAAATGTGACATTAAAGATCATTAAAAAAATGTTTGGTTTTGTAATTTCCTTTTTTTGTGATGACGTTATTATCTTTGTATATTGATTCAGACTATTGCTCTCAAATTGGTGGTTCTAAAACCATTTTGGTTATATACTGGCCATTTCAGTTGTTCAATTTAGTTGATGATTAGTAGAATTATTATTATTGCTATGATTTTATTTGTAGTTGTTCTCTATTTTAGTGTTACTTTTTATTGCATCACTTTTGGTTGATACACTCTTCAACAGCACTAATGTAAACTGTGCAAAATTACAAATAATTTCTAAGAAGACTTGAAATCTTGTCTTTTCTTGAACTTCAGAAACCTTGTCTCTAATGGATGTAGCTTTAACCATATCAGCCATGGAAGCTTGGAAAATAAATAAAAAATTGGATTGGTGAGGTGGCAGAAGGACTACTAATTTTCACCTTGCTTTAAGCATAAAGATTTCCATGTCTGAAGTAGTTAAGACAATGTCCATGAAAAATGGGCTTCTGTAATATTGAATCTGAGTTAAGCTTCTTGAAAGTTACCTTTTTATAACTCTCTTGACTTTTGTGATTAGAGAGTGGCTTGACACAGACTCTGTTGCAATAAAAAAGATGAAGAGAGAAAAAACTGTTAGAAAAAAAAATTGAACTCATTACCAAATGAAAGCTGACTTAAAAAAAAAAAATTCAAGAGGCCATGTTGTTTAATTGCAATTCATCTGGCCAACTTTTGTTCATGATATTCATTCAGCTTTTAACCTGACACAAGTGGATGTGTGAGGAGTGAAACCAGCAATCAGAGTTCAAATTCCAGCCTAGCAGGAATTCAGTATTGCAGAAATGTATTTTCTCCTAACTATAGTTAAAATAGCAGGATAGACTGGACTCTCTAGGCTTGGATGGTAACCAATCTAAAAGAAGGACAATTCAAAACCCTGTTGAAAGATATAGGAAATCATTCCACTATCTTTCTCATGAATGCATGGGCATTCACAAATAATAAAAAAAAAGAAAAGAAAAAAAAGAAAAGGGATCTGGAGCTACATCACTTACATCCTGAAGTGACATGGCATTTGAGAGAGTGAGAGAGATCAGGGTTGATTGGGCTCTCTGGATGCTAACCTAAGAGAAAGATCATTCTGAATTCAAAACCCTGGAGAAGGCAACAGAAAACTACGCCACTATATTTCTCAAGAATGTATGACAGTTCACAAATAATAAAGAAAAAGGAATCTGAAAATCCTGAAGCGACATGACATTTTTAAAACAAAAAAAAATAATTTTTACAGTTGATATTTTGAGTAGGAACATTGTCATACTAATATTCTTCAAAATGCAGAAATTTGCATGCCTTGAAAATCAGCATTCATAATCCATTTTACTTGGCCTCAAACATTGACCACTGGTAATGTGCAACAACAATTGTAGACCTTTTCAAGTGCACCATTTTATTATTAGTTATTTTTTAATTTATTACAATTTAGTTTGAGGATGACTTTCAAATCAACATGCCTTTTTTTTTCATTCAGATTTGGTTTTCTTTATTAAAATGACTCAAGTGTTAGACAAGGATGTTCAATATTGTGAGGTCAAGCATTGTTTCTTTAATGTTAAATGTTTCTTTTAAACTTGTAGCCATTACTAATTAAACAATATTCACCAATACAGAATGCCTCCATTAAGAGATTCATTCTTGATGTTAAATCCTTAAATTAAATCAAATTTCAGAGGATTCAAAATTGATATGCCTCCCAATATTCTAAAAATTGCTGGATGTGATCAGATAAAGTTTGCAGCTATAATATTTTAAACTTATTTTCAGGTTACGTTTTATTACAGAAATGATAGAAACAAATGGCAAGTACAAATGTAATGAAGATGTCATAAATTCAAGAGAAAAGGAAAAACTAAACATTTCTTACTATTTGATACACCTGATCATATGTAGGTAAATTGATTTTTCTATTTTCCACAGATTCTTTAAAAATAATGAATTAATTTAAAGTCTGCACTTGATTTCTCTAATGAGATTTTAAAGGTTTAGACATTTCTGAAATTAATTGTTACATCCTGGGGACCAAAGTTTGAATCATTTCGGTGCTAATAAGTATTTTAAAAAATGTAACTAATTCCTCAGTTCCTGTGTAAAAGTCAGCCCCATGACTGATTTTATTTTTAAATTAAAATTCCTGGATTAATATGTCCATGAATACTAAGTTTTGAGAATTTTTATGCTTAAATCAAATTCATTATAGGATAAATTTTTTTTTTTTTTTTTTTTTTTTTTTTTTACTTTTATTTAAATATTCTTTTTATTTTAACTGAAAATTTTCTGATTTTATTTTATTCTTGAATAAATAATTGTAGGATTTTGCAAGTGAGTCAGATTTTTAAGATGTTTGTATCCTGTCATAAGATATTTCCCTTCACTTATTAGATAGCCAGGGTAAGTAATTTCTCTTTATTGCATTTCTCAGTAAACGAAGGTTATTTAGATGGATGCAATAAAAAAAACATTAAAAAGAAATGTTTTCTTTTAAACTGAAGGAAAATAAAAATTAAACACTGAAGAAACTTTTACTGCAAGTCTTGCGAATTTATAGATTAGGTTGGGGGAAAATATTTGCTGCTGGTATCATTTAAACAGTACGATCTGTCACATATAACTTGGAGAAGAGTTGGGTTGTGCTAAATAACTTTTCTTTAAGGTTAGTTTCTCATGTAGTTGATGTTTTGCTTTTATTTGTTTCAGAAGAAAAAACTTATTAAACATAATAGTTTGACGTTAAAGAACTCTGTCTTCATTTGTATTTTAATGTTTCAGTCTTATAAAAAAAAAGAAGCTATCCTTCAAAGAGTGTTCAGGCTTTCATGCGCAATTCTATAATATTCTTGACAATTTCAGATCAACTGTTACAAAGTTTAAAGGAAAGTATAAAATCTTTTGAAAACTTAGGGGGAGATGTAAAAAATAATAATGTAATAAAAGACATATATATATCTGTCTTTTAAGTTTATTCAATTACCCATTTTTAGAACCTATGTTCTCTTGTTTGAATCTTTCAATTTTTTCCTAGTAAGTTTGGTCATTTTAAATTTATCTTCTGCTTGTTGTTGCATGTCCATTTTCATCTGTTGTCCTTTATTTGTTTCCATTATTTTACTTCTCAGAATTGGTCAGTTCCTCCTCTCAATGCTTATTCTGTTGTCTGAATTCCATATTGTTCAGTATTAGTGCCTTTTTTTAAGAATGTCTAATGCGTAAACCATTTAAACATAGAATAGGCTGTTTATTTAGTATATTTTTATTAAGTGTTGTTTCATTTTTTTTTTTTTTTTTTTTTTGCTGTTGTCTTTTGCCTCTTTCAAGGCATCAGTTGTATAGAAAAATGGTTGCTAGAAACTGTTGCATCAAATGTAAATAAATTCTCAAAAAATGTTGCTCTTTATATGAAGGCAGTCATAGTTAAAAAAAACAAAATACATCATTTTCCTGTATTGCTATTGTATTTTGGATAATCAATTTAACATCATAGGATGTTGAAGTTTCCAATTAATATTGAATTACTCCTGAAAATCTAATTTGAAGAATTTATAGTAAGTTACCAAGGAATTGGTTATCAAATATAGTCTTATTGATCCCAGTAATATCAAAATTTAAAAACTGATTTTCTTGATATGTTTACTGATAATTAAAACTTAAATCTCAGTATTTATATTTAAATTTGATTTTAGTTTTGCATAAATTGTCCAAAAAAGCCAAAAGATGATTCTTTTTTTCTAATTTTCACAAATATCCCTTTTTTTTTTTCTTTTTTTTTTAAATAAGTTTGAAATGAGTCAAAATAAAAAAAGAATTGGTTAGAAAAGTGTCTCATCTATCATTCAGCATGACCTTTTGCTTCATCTCTCTCTGTCTCTCTCTCTCTTTGTGTGCCTCTTGTTCATTTTTAATAGACTTACTCTTTCTGTTTTCTCCATTTTCTTCTAGACGAGAGGCAAGGAAATGTGCCGGATACAAACTTGACACCAGCAAACCAACGTCCTTTATCTTAAAGCAACTTATGATTCCCATTTGCTGCATGACAACTTTTTTTTTTTTTCCTTCCTAGTCCGTCGTAGTTTCCTCGTTCTTCAGTTGAGCTTCAGTGTTCTTCAGTCTTCATCGGTACGTCTTTCAAATAATTCTGTAAATGGTCAAATTGGTTATTATTGACTTCATCATTTTTGCTTTTCACTGATCTTCTCAATATGAGGTGAACAACTACAGAGAAAGGATTCAGAACATATTGTAGGGAGGAAGAAGAGGAGGAAGTAGGGTTAGGCTGGAGAATTGATACCAACAGACATTTATAAGGAAGAGGCCATTGGTCCAATTTTCCAAAACACCACATGCAAACGATATGTATGACACACTACGGGGGGGGTCAAATTATTCAAATGACTTCAGTTGTCCAGAGTTTTAGTTGGTTTGATGGTTTGTGTACCAATTTTCTATTCAGAAATGATTAAAAAAAAAACAGAAGGCAAAAAAAGAAATATTACTTTTATTTTGAATCGGTTTATTTGCATATTTTGTTAAAGATGTTAGGGTTAGGGATCAGATGGAAATATATTCTGACCATAGATAGCTGGCATTTTGTAATGGCTTCTTTATTTACATCCAGAGTTTTTCTGGAGAATAAAAGAGAATATCTTTTTTTTTTTTGTATTTATTCTGAATACTTGACTCTTTCAGCCTGGTCTTGTTTTGCAATGGACCTTTTTTTCTTTTAATCAGTGTTTGAAACAAGGCTTTGTAGGAAGCCATTGGAAGTATCACAAATATTAATCTGAATTAAATGTCTTTCTTTTTACACAGTTTTATGACATGATCTGATTTTATTGTTCTCAGGACATTTCTTTACTAAGATTTCATCACAATGATAAAATGAAACTTTTATGGCTAGTAATAACAAAAGGAAAGCTTAAAGCATTTCCCAAATTTATCATATATTTGAAAAGCAAAGAACTTGTTGCATGTAATGAAATGGACTTAGATTTATTTTGAGAAAACATTCCAAGCTGAGAAAATGTTTACAGCATCAGCCAGGAAGCAAGGACATTGTTATGTGTTGTAAAGTGAAGCAAAAAAAAACAAAAAAAACAAAAACAAAAAAAACATTTATATTGTCACTGAATTTCAACATCAAGATGACCACCAATTGGAGGAGCAGCAGCAGCAACACAAATCCCCAAAACTAACACATTGTGTACTTGTTTCTGCAAAACTTGTGTCCGAGATTGCAGGGCTTCTTTCCAGCATTGTACAAACTAGATTCTAGGATTTAATTCAGGTAGGAAATTGCACACCTCTGTAATTGTCCTTTCATTGAATACAGAATGAATTTTCCTTCCACTTGTTGTTCCCAATCATCTGTCTCTCCTTACCCAACATCTTAGCATTCAACTCTCCATTAATCTTTGATTAAGCTTACTTTGTCGACATAAAAACCCTAAATTAAAGGGTATGGTGGTAATTTTAAAGAAGTTACTTTCTATATTCTTGGTTACTAAGTTGATGACTGGAGGAAATCATTTCCAAGGTTATTTTTGGAAAATAAATAAATTCAGCAAATGTGAAATTATCCTGCATTTCCATAAGCAACATATTTAAACAAATTGAATGAAATTGTTTGAAATGAGTTTACTGAAAGAATACACATTGTTTGAAAGTAAAAATTTCTCCCATTCTCAAGTATATGATTTTGTTTTTACTTGGATTTGGAGTCGTACACTATTTCTAAAGGGAACAAATAATCATACACCATGTCAGATTTTATTATGCAAGTTAATGTTTTATGGAAATCAAGAGTTGTTCATCTTATGGTAAATAAATATATATAATAGTATAGTTATTGATATCTAGTTTTAATTTCAGATACATAAAGATTGACAGGAATTGTATGGAAGACATAACCTCAAAGAGAAACAAGGAAAAATGACTTTAAGAATGTAACAAGAAGTTTGAGAAAAATTAAGAGAACTAAAAAAAAGTGGATTGACCAGAAAGAAAATATCTGAAGTTTTAAATTTAAACAATAGAAAACTATTAAGAGATGAAAAGATCTTTCCTGGAAAGCCATAAAAACTGCTGCAAATTATGAAACAGTAGAAAAGTTAACAAAATCAATGACTGAAAGACTGATAAAAGTTATAGAATGTCAACAAGTCAATATTAACATGCAAAATATAATTTATTCATATATATATATGATATGATAATCAAATATGCTTGTGGCCTATATCTTTTAAGTTTATTTATAAATGAAAATTTATGTTGCATTTTACATTTACTGACACTCACAAAATAACTTATTAATATTTTTTAATAAAAATAGATATTATAAACTGAAATATTATACTGTTCATATAAGTAACTCCAGAAAATGTTACCAATTTCAGTTGGTTAATACTAATTTTATTATGGAAAGAATTGACCTACACAATAAAATCTGACAGTGTAGAAAAGATTTTCTTTGATAAAATACTCAGAATAAAAATAATAATGCACCTCCACCACCCTCTACCACTCTTCTAAAATACAAATTTCATACCCTTCTGTATTGTAACTTTTAAATATCTAATTTCAGCACTCTGGCATGAAACTAAACTTTATCTGTGGAATAGAAATAAAACACACACACACACACACATACATATATATTGGGTGTGATGGGTAAATTTTTGTCATTTTATATTTTTAATTTCACACATGCATGTTGTTTGCTTTTGATTTTGTCAACTACAGTTGGGTACCATCTGAGAAAAAGAGCACTGACACAATTCAGTAATTTGGAAACGGCATGCTGTACTGTTTGACATTTGTTCCAGAAGCTCCCAGAATGTTTGGATGCCAATCTGAGGACAGTGCAGAGAGGATTTGAAAAGAGTTGGATGAGTGTAATGGTGATCAAGAAGGTACAACAGCTCAGAAAACTCACTCTGCTCATTCAGATCAGAAAAGAACTCCCAAATTTGTTGGTAAGAACCTCACTCAACATGGAGCCCTACATCAAGTGTCTTGAGGAGGTAGTGCTGTCCTGGGTTAAGAGGTTGACTGCTGGAAGACCCTATGTCTGACAACAGGACTCTGCATTATGCCACACAAGCAGAACCCAGTCATGGCTGTCAGACACTTTCTGCAATCGCATCACCCCTTACATCTGGCCACCTAACTCCCAGACAGTAATCCCCTTGATTATTATGTGTGGGGTGCAGTTGAGCAAGAGACCAACAAAATTCCTTGTAACACCAAAGATGAACTAAAGGCAAGGATTATGGCAGCATTTACCAACTTAAAGAAGGAGACTGTCCAGAAGAGTTGCTGGAGATTCCAAAGTCATCTGGAGGCTATGGTTGAAGTCAGTGGTGATTTTTATTGAATAAATTTACTCCTTAGTATTTTAAGATATATTTGTGTAATTTTGGTAAATATATCTATTAAAATGAGATGTCAATATTATTTTCATTTTTGTGAAATTTAGACAATTTATCCATCAAACCTTGTAGACTCATCCAACTCTTTGTGAATCTTCTTCACTGTCCTCAGATTGACACCAAACACTCTGAAATGTTCAAACAGTGAAGCATGTTATTTCCAAATTTCCGGTGAAGTGAATTGCGTTATGGTGCTCTTTTTTCTCAAACACGGTGCCCAACTGACCCTACTATATAAATCAAAAGCAAACAACGCGCATGCGTGAATTTAAAAAAAATAAAATGGTGACAATCTACCCATCGCCCCGTGCGTGTGTGTGTGTGTCAGTCATTCGATGACTATTTTCTCTCTAATTATCTACTTAACAGGCTTGTCCAATAGGGGAGGTAATCTTTCTCACACATTACCTCCCTTAGATTTAATCATGCTACTTTTAAATCAAATACGAATTTTAATTAAACTTATAATATAATCTTCAACATTTTTTTCGTGTAACTGATACGTCGTTTTTAATCAATTGTTGGAGTGTCATAAAATTTCATGAATCTTTTTTTTGTATTTAGTTACAAATATACCAGCATAAAAAATATATTAGAATTTACAAAAAATAAAAAAGCTAATTTCTGCTTACATTTATCCTTAAAGGATAAAAATATCTAAGTGTTTTTGTTATTGTGAGTGAGTTTGTGTGTGTATATATATATATATATATATATATATATATATATATATATAATGACATTAATTCTTGACCACTGATAATTCCATTTATTCCGATTTTTCAGAATTAAGTGTCAAGAATTTCTAAAACAAAATCATTAAATTCACTTTTAAGTACTAATTATTTTGAGGATTTTTTTTATTTATAATCCTTTAAACCAACTTCCATCTTTTTGTACCAAGACCAATGGTCACCAAGAATGGACACTTACAAATTCTTCTGTGAAGGAGACAAAATGTATTATAAAAATTTTGATATTAACTTCCAATTTATGCTTTTAGTATTTGCTCTGTTAATGTTTCTGCAACCGTTAGAGTGAACTAAAATTGTGACATATTTATTTTCTAACTCTGATGTCACACCTTACATAAATAACTATCTTTTCTTTATTTTTTTTTTTTAAATATATCTTTTTAAATATTGGATGGATTGTAATATGCATTTATTCTATGAATAAGTGCATAGCTGAACGATGAGACAATTTTTTTTTAATTCACAAATGCATTGAAAAAGATTGAGTGGTTTATACAGCAAGAGCTTTTGATAAAAAATTCAGTTGCTAACTCTATCAGACTACAGGCATATTGATTTGACACCAGAAAAGTCCATTAAAAAAAATGATCTCATTGTATATTGTCAAGACTGGAGAAATGTAATTACAAATAAGGTCAGGACCTTTTGAAATTTATATCTACTAGTTTTGTTCCCATATCTGGTGTAATTTCTAAGTAACTAATGGTTTTATTTTTTTTTTTATTATAACGGTATTTATTATTACTATAAACACTAGCATTTTAAGTGGGGAGGGGAGATTAAGAATATAAAAAAAAACGGATTTTACTAGTTTATATTTAATTTTGCCTTGTTTTCCAAAAATGTTTTGGTTTTTCATTAAAAAGGTTTACTTCTTTTACCATAATACTCTCATATTTACATGAATGTTGGTGACTTGTGTTTATCTTTCAAGAATTCATGTCAGATGATTTGATTATATATGGAAGCTGATGAATGTTAGACAATCAAATATTTGTATCCAGTTTTTAAAATCTTTCCCTACCAAAATAGTAATACTTATATGCTTTTTCTTAATATTGCTGAAAGATAACGAAAAACCAATTGTTCAATTTTCAGTTTTACAAAAGTATTAAATGTAATTTTTTATTTGAAAAGAGCAACTGGAAAATTCTGAACAATTTATTGCCATACAATTTTTTTTCTTTATTTTCCAATAACCTTTTTTTTGATCTTTTGATTTTTAGCAGCAGCAGCAGCAGTAATCCAATCAGAAACAAAAATACTTTATTATATTGACAACTCAGAAACTCCTTATTTAATTACAATTCCAAAGAGGTAATTAATTTCTTTTTATTATTAATGAGTTGAACTGAAATAAATTGTTTTTTTATTTTTTATTTTTAAGTTTCATTGATTGTATTTTCTGGAATTTTTATCTTTTATGACAATTAACTATTGTTTTAAGAAAAATTCTGCTTTTTAAATAGTTAAATGTAAAATAAACCAAAGGAAACTGAAAGGCAGTTTGCTTAGTGACATCTAGTAATGCCTCTTGTCATAACAATGGAATATCACATCACAGCCTGAGCTCTTTACTAATGTCTCATTGTGTTTGATATTGTAGAATAGGATTAAAAAAAAAACTGAAATTATTTAATTTTTCACTTAGTTATTAATCTACCTACCTGTTGATAATGCTTGAAATACTTGTTTAAACATTACTATTCTTTTTACCTACCTATCTATCTATGGTGTTAATAAAGCCTTCAGTATCCTTATATTAATCCAAAACATGTTCAGTCTGTTGAAAGTTAATTCACTATCATAGATTCAGTAGTGATTTTGAGATAAACAAAGAAACAAATACTATTCAATAAACCTTCAGAAATATACTGTTCACAAATTTGGAATATATTTGCTGCAAGCAGTATTTAGCCCTAGACAACTTTATATTTTTTCATAACCAGAGAAATTAATAGCTACATAATGAGAGCAAAGTAGACAAGGAATTTTTAAATTGAGAAGGTGTTAATTAAAATGAATTTCTTTTGTACTGTTAAAATATATGACCTTGTAGGCATTCACCATGTAGTTTTTATTGGTCTGTTTATTAGTAGGAATAGTAAAAATAAAAATGAAAGCAGAGCCAAGGAAAATTGTACTTGTTGTCTAGCAGAGGATAAGAGAATTGTCTGTTCCCGCTTTTTTTTTTTTCCCCTCAGATATTCTGAGGATTATCCAAACATTCTTCATGTTTTTGATCTTTGGAAGATTAGATTAAATTGCTTTTTTTGGTGTGATACTACATATATGAGCAAAACCTGTGTATACTATCCTCTTGACCTTGGAGTAGGGAGAACCTGATTGGTGGTCCCGGGTAGTGCTTTGTGACCCTTGCTATCTTATCAATATTTTTTTTTTCTACCTATATTTATATACGGTACAAATTAAAGTAAACACAACTGACTATTAAAGGATGAAAATTCTTGGAGATTTTTTATGTCATTGAGGGGGGGGGGCTTCTTTTTTTTTTCCCCTTGTCCAAATCCGTGAATTTGTTTTGTTCATGCTAAGTCTTGAAAAAAAGACAATATAAAATTCACTTTTTTTTATCCATAATATTGAATGTGCTAAAATTATTCAACTTTTTGACAAGAAAAATATCAAGCTGATGCTAAAAATTGCTGCAAGATATATATATATGAGCAGGACCGGTTAAGATGGAAAAGATTTATTATAACATGTCTCTAATTTGTATTTAGATACATTATATTTATTTTAAAATTTTTTAGTTGAATTATTCACTTATATTTCATATGATCCATTATTTTAAATAATTAAGTTACAATAAAATTTGTATTTCATATGAATACTATCTTATAAAAGTTGAGATGTAGATTAGGGAGGTGGCCTCTATCATAGATGGGGGGGGATGGACCCTTGCACTAGCCCCCTGTCCACATTTTATTGATAATTGATTTTTGCCTTTAATAGACTCAGTTTAAATTTTGCTGGTACATATGTGGGTTGTTTAAATTTTCTGTTTTCATTGATATTTTCACAGATTAGGCGAAATCACACTCTTGGACTTTCGAAAACTTTGTGGACGATCTGAAGATTGCAGATATCAGTTTAAAGCACTTGATCCAGAATTTGGAACAGTCAAAGAAGAGGTAGGTATTTCTTTACAGATATAACTATTTTGATTAAATAATTATTACCTGCTTGTAGGTAATCAATATATTAACAAAATATTCATCATCATCATCCCCCCGGACTTGTAATCATAGTGGGAATCTGAATCCAGAAGCCACACTAAATCTCTTCCATAATAGTCTATCAACAGCAGCAGTTAGCAATTCTGCTATAGTCATACTTGTCCATTGTTTGACATTGGACAACCAGTTTTTGCATTGGTATCCTCTCCTATGTCCACCTTCAATAGTACCTTGCATAGGCTATTGTGCCTTGTAAACGCATCCAAACCACAGCATTTTTCTCTGTTTCACAGTGGCAAAAAGAGGTTCCTGGAGGCCCACAAACTTTTCATCCCTTTTCCATACAAACTCATTGGTTTTGTTAATAAAATCACTACTAACAAATTGTTTTCTGATCAAATATCAATGAATTACAATCATCATTTTCAAAGTTACTTTCATTTTAATTTTTTTTTTCTCAAGTAACTGTAAAAAAAAGAAAAAAAGTTTATTCTATAAAATTAATGACTAAAGATATAAGGAATATTTGGTTAAAATGTAAGCCTCCCCTTTTTGAGGAGACTTGAACAAGAGATTAAATGCCTATTTTTGTCTTTATCATCATTTAAAAAAAAAAAAAATTGAATTTCTTGTTCATCATTTCTCCAAATAGCTTTTTTTAAAGTTTCATTTTCTTTTGTCTGATATTACTTGTTTTTCTTTTCAGTTGTCCAATGACACAGATTTATTACCTGGCTGGGAAGGTAAAATTGTGGCCTGGGTAGAGGAACGCAAGAGTTAATAGCAGTGCCTTCTTTGGCCCTTATCATCTACATCTCTTATCTTGTACTTAGAGAGAGAGAGAAAGAGACATGATCAAAAGCTAACCCTAACACACAAATATATTGTGGGTAGTTAGGCATACCATGTAAACCAGGAGGGATCTACTATTTAGTAGGAAAATGCCTACCTATTTTATTATTCCTTCTCTGTTATGGAAATGCTAGTTACTGCCAAGTTGAAAAGAGAAGAGAATTTGATATCTGGTTGGAGAGTTCACAAAAATAGATTCTGGGAAGTGAAACTAAGTACTCTATCCTTCCATCCATGCCCACAATTTCAGTACCATAGCTGTCCCCACTCCTAACTTAAAAGAAAAAAAAAAAAACTTGCTCCATGTTCAGAAATTGTAAGAATGGTGCAATAAGTTTTGTTTTTAATAGCCAATGTTTTATTGGCAGTAAACTGGGTGTAACTGATCTGAATAAGTCCTTGGGTGATAAAATGACTTTTGGGGATGAATCTGACAGGTGGGAATTAAGCAATTCTGTTTTTCAGAAAAACTAATGAAATTGTGTGTCTGTGAATCTTATTTGTTAATTGTTCACTGAATGAAAGAGTTTTTCCAAAAGAATTTCTTACTGCAGCAGACATAAGTCAATAGTATTTATTAGTTTTGATTGTCTTTAACATTTAAATGAATTTTGTATAAAGGAAAAGATAAGTGTATAAAACATGATTGACAAATTCTTTTTCTAAAATATTTTTATGATCCTCCATTACAAACCACTTCAGAATCAACCATATTTTATAGCATTGGGTGGGGTTCAGAATTTGATCTGTTTTCGCCAAAGCCAAACCATTCGTCAGCACCCAACATTAACAAAAAAAAAAAAAACAACTTCCAATTTACTGTGAATGCTGAAACAAAGAAAGAAGCTTCAAAGATATGAAGATGATTTTTTTTTTTTTTTTTTCTTCTGGTATTTCTTATTCAAAAGCTGGAGATTTTGTCTTCCTTTCAGCTAATCTAATTCTTTCTTGTTTGTCTTCCAAAATGTTGAGATTCAGTTTGCTCATTTCTGATTTATTTTCCTTCTAGACTTGACATCTTTTGGTTAACTGGAGCTGAATTAAATAAAACTAAAGATGTTGAATAACAGAAGACAAGATGTCTTATGAGCTTTTTATATTATTATTGCTAACATCATAAATTATTTAAATTTTGGTTATTAAGTTCATATGAGTTTACTACTCATTCTATATTTATGCTTGAAAATTCCAAGAAGTAAATCGGAAATAATAACGTGCTATTTGCAATATGGTAGAAACCCTAGGTTGATCTTTGCCTCTTTTCCCTTCTTTATCGCCAGTTTCGAGTAAATAAATTAAGAAGGGGAGATAACTTCATATTCAGCAACTTGAAATTTAAAATTAAGAAACTTGATTTTGCTTTTGAAGCTGCTGATAACTGAAATTTGGGGATTGAGATGTTTTAAATAGACCCTCCTGCTCGACACACACACAAAAAACATTAATAATAATATTGAGGGAAATAATTGATAGAAACCACTGTGATGAAATTTAGAAAATCCTTTAAAAAAAAAAAAAAAAAATTGTTCTTCCATCATGAAATATTTAAAAAATAGTTTATTCTTAGAATTACTTTTTGTCTGGTCTCTACCTCACAATATATTGGTATTTAAAAAGATACTATTGTATTTTTATGGACCTGTTTATTCATTTTGATCAAAATATTGCTAGGTTTGCAGCTGTCACCTTTCACTGCTATCTACTAAAATAATATTGACACTTTTATATCTGTTGAAAATAGGAAATGCTTAAAATGACCCCCAATATTTGTGCACATGGAGTAAAATTAAAAGTCTGTAAATCTCAGTGTCTATGAAAGAAAGATTCCCTTGTTTGTGTGAGTGAGAGAGAAAAAAAAAAATGAATGAATGGGTGTAAAATCTGACCGAGGCCTTAGTTGCTGGAATAAATCTCTCTTCACTTGTGCATTGTATTTATGGGTAAATGAAACAAATTCAGGTGTGGAACCTGCCTTGTTGATGGAAGTTTAATTTCCTGCACATGCCGGTATTAAAAAGCCATAATTTTTTTTTTCTAGGGAAAGCAAGCCCTCCCCAATCTAAGAAGAACCTTCCCAGTTTCATTTCTCTCTCCCCACTTGACTTCTGTGCCTTGCTAAGTTAACCTTAGTAAATATCCAGACAGTCTTTCTTTTAATTTATGCATAGTGATCCCCACTTTCTTTGCAAGTCTCTGATTTAACCATCTTCCCCAGAAGATGAAAAAAAATCCTCCACAGAACAATTTCTATTCAAACTCTGTGTCTTTCTCTCTTCTCTATTTCGGGTGTAAAATTAAAATTGTTGTAAATCTAATGTTGGCTCCTGTGTAAACATGTACACACATTTCAAAAGAAATGATATTTTAATTCTTTGCTGCTAGATCTAGTTACTTGTTTGACATTAAGCTGCTGTTGTATATTTTTTTTCCTAATTTATTTTTTACACACTGCCCTCTTTACTGACCGGGTGTGTAAGGACTTGCTGGCAGGCTGCCCCCTGGTCTTCTATCAGCTTTGTTGTGCCAACTTTTCTTTTGGCATTTCCCCAGCTGCTGGTCAAAAAATAATCTGTGGCTTGTCTAAATTTACACACATTTAATTATATATAAAAATGTGTACATTCCAAATAATGGCCTCTATATCAAAATAAATTATTGCCAAATATATGACACTTTCTTGTTATATTTACATTTCTCAAAATTGTTACATTAACATCTGCCATTTGTGTTTTTTTTCCCTTTTTTTTTTCAGTAAACAATTGTAATTTATACAAAAAAATAATACATTTGATATGTGGTAACCTTTTCTTTTATTCTGCCTGTTCATACTTTTTTTTTATTAAGGAATTATTAATGACGTTTATGTTAGGACAGCTGCTGCTGTAAAGTAATTAGCAGAAATAGCCAACAAACAATTAAAGTTTGCAATAAACAATGACTAAAAGAACAAGGCAAAAATAATATAAAAATATATAATTTATATAGGTTGCACAAGTGATGAGTTCAAAAAACATTACAATCAACATCTAAGTTCATTTAGGATAAATAAATATAAAAATCAAACATCTCTCTCAAAGTACTTCTGGCACTTAAAAGAATCCTATAAAACAACTACAGTAAAATGGAAATTAATAAGAAAAGCTAGAATATGTAGGTCATTAAATGATCCATGTCCTTTGTGCATATATCAGAAACTATACATTACTAAGTTTATAAAAATTTACTGAATCAAAGAAATGAAATACCTATTTTTTGCCGTCATTGTCAAAAATAAAATTTTAAAAATGTGAGCTGGTAATATACATACATTATATAAAATTATTTTTTCACATCAAATATAAGTTATTCCATTACATTTACTTGTTTTAAAAAGAAATATGGTCTATTAATAATTAAGAATAAAAATATTTTAAAATTTTAGTTAAATAAAATGTATTCTAACTTAAACATACCCCAAAAATCTTTAAGTATACAAATGGAAAACTCCCAAAAGAATTTTTGCCGTTAACAAAAATTTAAAAAAAAACAGACGACATGCATTTAACAGATATCAGAAGTCGTTGAAAAATACATCCCTACCCTCCCTAAACTTAACTCCTTTTTCGAATGTAACTAATAACTGATACAACAAAAGTTAATAAAAATAATATATATATATATTTATACACATACCAGACAACAGTAAGATGACATAGAATTCACAAACTAAGAATGGTGTTAACACACAGACAAGCCTTCGTAGCATTCTGACTTCAAGACTATAAATAATAGAATTCAGTTGATTCCTATATTATTGGCTAGGATGAAATCCCAGCATGCATCTGTGTATTTTTTCTATAAATTTGGCAGGCTTGGTGTATGTTTTTTCAAACAATAACACTTACTAATAAAAACCAAAATATACTCAATTACCTGTAGTAATTGCCATAAGGAATACATAGAAACCTCAAGTAATGAAATAAGAAATTAGATAAACACAAAAGGGTTCTTTTTTTGAATTTGAAGTGTATAGAAAGTCCTTTAATTGCTAGTAAAATTTGTGTCCAGGTTCTTGCATTTCACCTTTGGAAAATCTATTATAACAATGTGGAATACTTACCAAAAAAATAAAAAATAAAAATGCAAAGAAAAAAAAATTAAATATAATTAGCTAGACATTTAAATTTATATACACGTATAGTTACATCAACATAAACATTAAATTTAAACATTTAAATCCAAACCATAATTGATGACCTTTTCAACTAATAATTTTAAGTGGTGATAAAATTTTACAAGAATCATTTTAAAGTTCAAAGAAAATGTTAAATTTAGTTTTGTTAATTTTAAGAGAATTTATTTCTGGAATGGTTCATTTAATTTCCTAAAAAATTCAAAAATAGAGATTCCAATTTTACAAAAATATAGAAATCAATGAATCATTTAATTAAACCTCTTCCCTTTAGATACATTGTCAATTGAATACTTATAGAAATGCTTTTTTCATTTAATTTTCCATTTTTGTGTTTAATTTTGAATTTTGATAAAAAAAAAATATCAGATTCAAGGAAAAGTATAAAACGGTTATTTTGCTTGAAAACTAAATTTGTCTAAAAATATTTTATTTTAATGAGTATTAAAATAAGGGAAGTAACCACCCATTTACTATCTTAAATTGATTTACCTCCCTTCTCATTAGAGTGTGTGAGACAAACAGATAAAATAAATACACAAAAATAATTATCATATAAAAGATTCATTACGAGAAAAAGAAAAAAGTTCAATTATTACATTTAATGACATTGAAAACCACAAAGAACTTACCTTTCATAGGCACAACATTTTTTTACTTTTGAAAATGAATCAATGCAACATGGAAATAAACGTTTCTGCTGCTTGCACACCAGGAGGAAAACTTTTCTTCAGATCAAGGTGCATTCAATATATATA